CTAGTTTCGCAATTTAAAAAGATCTTTCAGGACCCATAGTTCTTGAATGTATGCAAAATTTAGAATCTACAAGACTAGAACTGTAATTGTTTCATAATTTTTAGTATGTATAGTTCAAACGTAGATAAAAAACAATGACCGGTACCATTTTGTAGTTTTCTTGTTGTGAGACAATATAAAGAAGAGATTTCTGGGCTCATAATTCTGAAAAAGATAGTTTCTCCATTGATTAATGATTAAATTGAAAGACTCAAAAAAATTATCCTTCAATGAATTTACCGCCTTGAAAATCAGAAATATTTTTACTAAAAAAAAATCATTTCCACCAAGCGTTTATCCTTGGACTGGAACATTTAGTCATTATACAAAAGACTCCTTAGTCAATATCACCGTTGAGCACATTATGTAATACTGGAGCAGGTTATAATGTTCTTAATAGCAACTTTATTCTCTTTCAGTGGGTGTGCGTGTAGGTCTAATCTGTACCACATCCGCATCGTACATTTTATCTTAGCTAGTGTTGCAGTAAAGAATTGCAACCAAAGACGAATGATGCACTGCTTAGCTTAGATCTCCTGTCTATGATATATCTGCTGGAAATATGAAATTCAATTATAAATAAATATAGAAGAAATTTAGAAAAACAAAATGTATGCATATTTAAGGACATTCTACATATATCTTGATTACTTTTGCTTTTAGACGAACAGTAAACTTTCGTTGACTGGATAACTTGCGACCCCTCTACCAATACGCATGTCCAACAAATTTTACGGATTTCAATGATTATTATAAAAGTTTCAAATATCGTGAAGCATACAAAAAATGCCGAATGAACTGCAGAATTTGGAAGATAAGTACTGTTGCCATGTTACTTCATGAAAAATAAAAATGAGTTCAGTGTAAGCTTTTTTTTGCAATGATGTTGTCCTTGTTCTTTACTAACGAATGTACGTACTCACTACTACATCTTTTCTTGTTCTTTGTGTAATTACACCAAGTTTGTCTCTTATGTCATAGTTACGGCAATAGCAGCAATACTGCGTCACTTGCCTGTTGAATGCAAACTTGGTTGTTTGATTCACTCATTCTGAGTTCTCGCATAACTATTTGTGACGCTACACCAGCCTATAAAATTTATGTCAAAGCTCAATAATATTCGTCAGGTGTATGTGATTGGAGACGACCAAAGTGAAAAAACAACACTGGTTAATGTCGTTGCAAATAAAGCACGCACGGTTCCCGATTTATCAAGCCTGCTCTTCCAATTCAACGATCAAGCATTCGGTAAGTTCAGTGTAAAACCAAAAAGAAAATGGAAGTATTGGTTGTAGGTAATCTTCAACAAGACAGTAATGAGGTTTTCGTTGACTTAATCGATACCTTCACGACTCTACATGATGCCGATGGTGCTCTGCTCGTTGTCGATGCTGTCGCGGGCGTAACTGCTGAAACTGAAAACGTTTTTCAACAGGCGCTCAGCGAACAAGTTCAATTAATATTAATCATTAATCGAGTTGGTCGATGCATTCTCTTAGAGTTATTAAATTCAGAAGAAATTTATCAAAGATTCGTACAGATCATCGCCAGATGTAATGCAGTTGTGACCACCCATCAGAATACTCACGAATACTTTAATCCCAAGAGGGGTAATGTTGGTTTCGCGTCAGACAAACATGGTTGGGCGTTTACTTTGCCGCAGTTTGCTCGAATGTTCGTGCTCAATCAGAAAACAGCCACATCCGAAGAAAGGTGCATCGAACTACTATGGGGCGATATGTTCTATTCGTCGATGCATAAGAAGTGAATCAATGGCAGTCAGAATAGTGCACATTACGCCAATCTAGATATGAAGCGAGGTTTCACTAGATATGTGATTCAATCTGTTCAGGATATGATCTTTGCTTGCGCCAATCTAAAACCAGATCACGTTAGAAAATTGTTGTCTCAAGCTCATATTCAATTGCCATCTGAAAAGCTTGACAAAGAAAAATATGACATTGATGGAATTCTGTTTAATGTCATGAATGCTTGGCTTCCAATTAACGAAGCTATACTTTATTTAATTGTACGTCATTTACCAACACCTATGAACTTGAAAGAAAAAGTATATGTGGAAAACTGTCAGAACTAAGCAGAAACGATATAAATTGGGAAAAAATGCTCAACGTGAATCAGACTATTAGCGGAGATTTTGATCGAACTGATCGATAATGAACGGTTTTTTTTTAATTTTTCAAAATGATCATTTTAAATACAGACTTAAGAATTAGGAAAAACCAAACGTAGTTGAAAAAAAGGTTGAGGGAAAATGATGTAGTCGTAACAAAAAGAGAAAGGTTTAGCAAATACCTCATGGTGAAAAAAAGGAAAGAATAGAGAAGAAGAACATACATAATTATATATATATGAAATCTGCCATTAGTAGGATAGAGCAACAAAGAAAAAAGAAGAAAAAAATAGTTAACAAAAATTTTAACTAACAGTCGTCCAACGCTATAAACTACGATGAGAGTATCAAAAAATATTGGCATCAGAGCTGCCAACAGGCTAGCCTGCCAGGCGAGCAGAAACCAACCGACCCGACTGATCTGTCTAATTTTTCAAATCCAATGCATCACATAACTTTATATTGATATATTATTCTAGTGTCAACAATTTATTTCTATTTTCATAACGAAAACTCAATCATAATTTGTTGTACATGATAGCAAATTAATACAGAACACATATTGTCATAAACATTTCTCACTCAAAAAAGACTTCAATCAGGCCAATAATTTGGCACTGATCTAGTCTGTTAGCCTGCTTCAATATAGTATGAATACATCAGATCAGGCTAGAATGTCAAAATTCAACTCATCTGGCAGACTAGTCTGTTGGCAGCTCGGATTGGCACTATGCATGCCTGATAACATATTGTCACCTGACTCTTCACTTGAACGGGTTGTTTTACCACTAACGAACAACTTTTGTCTTTTGTTCTTTATTTAATACAATTGATTTTTGATTAGATTGATAAAAATCTAGTGAATATGAATGTATACCAAATCTTTTTTTAATTTCTTCATTATCTTTTATATATAATGGAACAAGATCTTCTGAATATAATTTACATGTTGAATCATGTAAAAAAAAAGGATTATTTTTTAAGATTGATCATAATATTTTTCGAATTGATTTATATGTGATTTTAAATTTGATTCACTAAATAATATTGATGTATCTAAATAAAGAACGAAAAAAAATCTTTTTTTTTTTTTTTCTTTTATGTATAAAATATTTTTACAGTTATTTTTATTTGAAATTTCAGAAGTTTCATCATTATCATCGCTTATTGAATCAAATTCAAAATAAAAATTAAGTTGTTCTTTTGATGATGATGTTTTAAACATGTAGTTAGATCAGATACAACACTTAAATTAGAACTAACATCTAATCTTGATAATGAATCATCAATTGAATAAGAATATATACAAATATTCGATTGAATTTTTTGTTTTTTTTTGTTTTATATAAATTATTTGATGATTTTTTTGAAAGAATTTTAAATGAATTATTTGTTGAATTTTTTTAAATAGAATATAACTTAAACATTATTTGATAAATATATGATTTATTAAGATTATCATTTAATTTTTTTTTATATGAGTCATTATTAATTTTGTTTTTATTAAATATAAAATAGACAAATATGATTATCAATAAATCATAAAGTCAATTTTCTTCGAAAAATTAAGAATAAGAAAAAAAAAAACAGAAAAGTTCTACATTCACCATATAAAAACGGGTTTTTTTTGTTTTCATTGATTTTTCAAAATAAATCAATTATTTTAATTTGTTATTCAAATAAATTAATATTTAAAAGCACAACATAAACTAGTTAATTTTATCAATAATTTTTATAATATAAAATCTTTAATCATCATCAATCGATTAATGAACAGACAAAAAATTATTAATTTATTATTTCCATTTATTAAAAATCAATGATGAAAGTATTTTTTTTATGTTAAAATAAAAAGAAATTTATATACTTGCAAACTAATATTGTTTATTGAATAACGTGGAAAAAAAAAGAATGGATTTTAAGATACACAATACAGTATATATGCAAAACAATATTGACTTTTTTTCACTTATTCTATTAAGTATTTATACTATCTATCTGCAGTACTCATGATCGTGATATATTTTCTTTCGATCCTCATTTGAAACATAGTTCAAATGTTACAATAAATGTTTTTATATATTTCATTATTAAACTAAAACTAGAGAAGTTTTTTGTTTATTGGGATATTCTCTTATCATGCATTATGAGACTTATAGAGAAATAAATAAATAAATAAATAAAAAGTAAAATTTTCTGTATGAAGAATAAAAATAATTTTTCTTTAACTTATTTTGTATTTTATATTCTATTCTTTAATAAAATTCTTTATACATGAGTAGATTTAGAATCTTCTATTTTTTTTTTTGTTTTTCTAATCATTTACAAATTACACTATGTTTTCTAATGTATCAATGACTATATACAATTCTTGAGAACATCGAACATGTAGAAAAAAAAATTTTTTTCTTATTGAAATATGTAAATTTTATTTAGAATGAATAAAAGATGATTTTATTTATGATAACATATAAAAATAAAGAAAGTAAAAGAAAGAGAATAAAATCATGTTATACATTATCATATGACTAATGTTACTATTTTCTATCATACATACATCGATAGACGGTTACAGTTTGTAGTGTTCGATACTGTCGGGTTTTTCTATATTGTATTCTATACACATTTTATTATTCTTATTTATTTCTTCCTTTTTTAATGTTCTCAACAGTTAGAGAGATAAATAGTCATTTATTTCAGTCAATAGATCGACTACTATACCATTCTTATTTTTCTAATCTACAAGATAGCTGAATACATTGTTTTTTTAAATAAATATTCTTTGATTTATTTTTAGATTAAAAACAAATAATTTAATTAATAAAGAAAAATGTCATTCAACATATGCAAAAAGTATTGGGATGATGATTTATATAAAAATGGTATGTAGGATTTATTTAGAAATGAAAAAAAATACTTCTATGAAAATATCTTTTAGATCATAAAAATTGTAATCCTAAAATAACAACAATTGCTAAAAGACCAGAAACAGGAAATGGTATTTTATCTTTTCTTTTTGGTTGAATTAAATTAAATTGTTTTTTCTCTTTTAGCTGGTCAACTAATTAAAATTTATACAAATCATTTTACAATTAATTTTTGTACACCACCAAATAAAATAATTTTATATCAATTTGATGTTGATGTTGAAATATTAATGTCTGATGGTTCATGGTATTCATGTGGAAAAGATGAACGTTTACAAGTTATGAAAAAAATAATTAATAAAGAAAATTTTCCACTTGTTTGGTATGATGAAGGAAAAAATTTATATTCAATTGAAAATTTAATGTTAAATTTAAGAAAAAAAGAATATCAATGTGAAATAAATGATAAAAATACTGGACAAACAAATAGATTTCGTTTTTTAATTCTTAATCTTGTTAAAATATATACATTAAAAAAAATAATTGATTTTATTCAAAAAAGAATTTCAATTGAACCACATGATCTTGTTAAAATTCTTGACATTTTATTTAAACAAACAAAAAGATCAGATATAATTACTATTAAAAATCAATCATATAGAAAACATCAACGTTTAGATGATCTTGGTACCAAAAAAAAACTTTTTTTATTTGAAAAAAAATTATTTTAATTTTTTTTTTTTTGTCAGGTGGTGGAATTGGTTTAGGATCATGTTCCTATCAATCAATTATACTCTGTGAACGTGGTTTAACATTAAATATAAATAAATCATTTGTGACTTTTTATCAAAATTATAATTTAGTTCAATTTCTTTCATGTTATATGGGTCATGATATTCAAAAAAAATGGTTTGTGATTTTTGTGTTTATATAAAATAGTTTTATTGTTATTAGTTTTTTTTTTTATTTTGAAGAATTGATTATCAACGAAGATAATCGATTAATATTAATTTATATTTCCTATTAAACGTTTATAGATTCTTTTGATCTTTAGAAATAGAGAATACAGATTAAGATGCTCGTGGTTTCTCTCATAACAAATTTTCTATTGAAATTTTGAAAGAAAAAAAATGAGTTTTTTTAGTGTATGATGTTCTGATCACTGATCCTTGTGGATAGAAATGATTGAGTTCAAGATTTTGAAGGCTCGAATCTATATCTAGTGGTCGACTTAAGGAAAGGACTAGGAATGTTACAAATCGAGTCATCAGATATCGATCTTTGCGACTTTCCAATAATTGCGTACACGACTCGTTTTTTTAATCATTTGTTCTTTCCATGCTAAGAGTCACTATTTTCCTATGATTATGTTATTTATTAAGTGAGGGAATGCAAAGAAGAGATAATATTATTTCACATTTGTTTATATTTATATTATTATTTTAGGTATTTCATCAAAAGATCAGGCATTACTTGTTCGAAAATTATTAAAATTTCTTTGGTTTGTCATGCTATGTGAAGCAGAAGCTTGTCAATATCGTTTAAAATCATTTGGTCGTCCAGCAAATCAACATACATATATTATTAATGGCAATGAACAAATAACAGCTGTTGATTATTTTAATGATATATGGAAATTTCCTTTACGTTATCCACATTTACCTGTTGTTGAATTATACCATCCAAATGATAACAATCGATTATATGCTTTACCAATGGAATTAGTTGCTGTTGATAAAGGACAACCAAATTTACAAGCACTCACAACTGAAGAACATATTGAAGCAACAAGAAAAACGCTTGTTCGTCCTAATAAATGTTATAGAATGATTCAACGTGTTGTTGATGAACGTCGATTTAATCATGATTCATATTTACAAAAATTTGGTATTATTGTTGATGTTAATGAAATGTTATTGATACCTGGAAGAATTTTACCATTACCAGAAATTAAATATAAATTATCAGATATTGATCAACATGATATTATCGAAGGAGTACAAATAGGTAGATGGTGGTTAAATAAGTTTTTTAAAAAAGTACGTGAAATACGTACATGGGCTATTGTTCTTGTTAGTCAACATAAACCTGATGATCAACAAATTTGTTTAACAAGAGATTTTACTCAAAGAATTTTACAGGTTTTAATTGAGTTTCTTTAAAATCAATAAAAAAAAATAATTTTTTGTCCTTTTTTTTTCAAGGTTATGTCAAAATATGGCGTTCGATTTAATTCATCACCTATTGAAAAATATGATGCAGCTATATTACAAACAATAGTAGCTCGTATGAATGAACTTAAAATGCTAGAATGTGAAGTTATTATTTATATTCTTGATCAAGTTGGTGATGAAATGTATAATGCAATAAAACAGTTTGCCAAAATAAAAATTGGTAAGATTTGTATTATATAGAAGAAAATGACTAATCTAATTAAATGAAGTCTGTATCTCGACTAGAGCTAGTGGAGATTAAACATTTTGAATTTGAATCTCGATTCCATTTATTGATCATCTTTCAAACTCGGATCTGGATCTGAGTTTCACTTTTAATACTTTCAAGAAGGTTTATTCTTATCTGAATCTGATCATCATTTTTTCGCCTATTGGTATTAATGAATAAGACACTTTACATACCGGGTGTACCAAAAGTTTTGTGACATGTTTTTTATTTTGCATATATCTTGACTTAAGAAAATAATAAAATCTTGATTTCTTTTTTAAAAGATGCACCGTGAAAAGCCCTACAAAAACTGTATACAGAAATTCCTATTAACTGGTTGTCTTGGTGTTTTCCATATTCAATATGAACAAGCTACATAACAGTGCTACTTTCCGACATAATAAAAATGTTTGGAAGGTTCTTTTTGTTTTGCATATATCTCGGCTTGAGAAAATGATAGCGTCTTTATTTTTGTTTTTGACAGATGTGCCATGAAAAGGTCTACATAAGATGTATGAACAAATCTCTAATGCAAAACAAAAAAGACCTTTCAAACATTTTTATCATACTTAACACGATGCAACATTACACTATCATGTAGATTGTTTATGTTGACTATAGGAAATACTAAGAGAACCATATAATAGGGATTTCTGTAAACAGTTTTTATAGAGCTTTTCAAAGTATATCTTTCAAAAGAAAGAAATCAAGATTTTATCAGTTTCTTAAGTCAAGGTATATGCGAAATAAAAAAATCTTGCAAAACTCTTGGTACACTCGGTATAGATTTAAAATTATAAAAATTCAGTTTTTTATATTTTGATTATGAAAACAAAAAAGAATAATTTTTAGGTATGATAACTAAATGTATTCCTTTCAACGAATTGGTCAATAATTATTCACATAAAATGAACAATTCTATTGAAGTAAATTTTTTTCATTTGCTTTTTGTTTAAATCTAATTAAGAACTTTTTTTTAAAGAATTTAGTAAAAAAATTAAATATATTATTGGATGATTGTGATCAACTTATACCATTAATATCTTTATTAAATTCACCAACATCTCGTTCAGATGTATTTATGTTCTTCGGTATTGGTTATACTCATATAGCATTTTCATTTCAACGAGCATCAGTTGCTTATATTTGTGGGTCAACATATTCAACCAATTCAAAATATTCTATTCGTCTTTTAAAACAAGTTGTACCAAAAGAAAAAATTTCTTATTCAATAATAAGAGATCTTCATATATATGTTGGTGAATTAATACGTGAATTTTTTCAACATAATTTACGTTTACCAAATAAACTTGTTTTCTATCAAGTTGATCTTGGTAATGAATCATTTCAAACAATACTTGATCATGAATTAAAAACTATTGAAGGAGCATGTCAAGGTAAATATGATTGGCTACTATTTAAGAGCTAAGTAATTTTAAATAAAAGCTAAGTAAAAAATTAAATTTTTGCTAGGTAATTTATTGAAAAAAATTCTAAGCAAAAAAAAAAAAAAAAAAAAAAAAAAAGTATTTTTGTTAAGTTTTTTATTTAAATTCTAAGTAAAACAGTTTGATTTTGGTAGTAAAATATTGTAAATCGCTAAGTAAATATATCATTTTTGTTAAGTAAAATGACATGAATATCTAAGTAAAAAAATTAATTGCACATTTATTGTATCAATAGAGCTTTTGTTGTTTTTCGTAGTCGTTCTTGTTTTCTCTTTTTATCCAAAGGATATCCTTTGCTGATGGAGATGTTCTACAAAATTTCAACCTAATAGCTATACCTAAAATACTTTTACAAATATATTCTTTGAAGAAGCTCGGACAATCGCAAAGTCAACTTTTTTTTATTTCGACGCATTGCTATAGTTTAGTTTTTTAATTCAATGTAAACTTTCAATGATAGATCAGCAGAAGTATATAAGAAAACGAGGGAAAGAGTGTACCAAAAAGTGTCAGATAGAACAGAAGTCTCGAGAAAGCAATACAAATCTTGTGTAAAAGAAATAGCAAGAGAAAAACAAGTAGGATTGTACTAGAACATTTTCTAAGAAAACAGGCACCTACATCAGAACAAAAAAAATCTATAAGTGACATATATGTGTGTCAGCATCCAGTGTTGGATTCACTTCGATATTAGATCCGCCTAGGTTAATCTCAGGTGCTCACTTTAAGCTGGTTCAACGTTGGATTGAGGAACTTGTTTTAATTAAATTTTCGGCTACTCTCAAGAGAAATGTTAGATCGAAATTCTTGTTGATAAATGGCCTTACAGCAATGATACTCTAGAAAATACAATGGTCAATATACAAATTTAAGTCACAGTCGTGAACCTCTACGTAAATCTCTATAGAAGAACAGTTTTTTTTACGAAAACTATCCATTAGAGTTCAAATTCGAACGTAGATTCTGTATTGATAATTTTAATGTATGAAGTACCATTGCTCCATCATAGTTCATCAACGAGAATTTTGAATCCAATATATATCTTGAGAGTGACGAAGGTTTTAAAAAAAATTTCTCAATTTAACAATGGACTAATTCGATGTGAACATCCGAGATTGGAGTGAATTCGAAATTGAATGTTAACATATATATCATGATACCAGTTCAACGATGGTAGAAGGAAAGCAAGAAAAAACAATATATACATTATAGTACTATAAAAAAAAATTTTCTTATCTCCGATCATCGTACTTTACATTTACTGGAAATTACTCAGTAATAATTATTTTTACTTAGTGATTCTATTTTTTTTAGTATAATTTCGATTTATTAACTTAACAAAAATATTTTTTACTTAGCGATTATCTATCAAACTTAGCAAATATTTTCTTTAATGAGAAACTTTTAATTAACTGAGTGTTCAATTTTTTTACAGAGCACATAGAAATTTTACTTGGCAAAGACCAACTTAGCATTTTAATAGTTTTACTTAGCAAACAATTTGTAGCCAATATGATTGTTCAACGATGAGATCAAATAAACAAATGTTGTTTTTTTTCTATAGAATTGTATGGTCATAATCAAGTTCCTCGTATTTGTTTTGTTCTTGTTAAACAATATCATAATACACGTTTCTTTACTTGGGATGAAAAATCAAATCAAGCAAAAAATATTCCACCAGGTTAAATGAATTTTATTTGATTTTGTTATTCGAATATTTCTTTTTTTTTTTTAATTTTAGGAACAGTTATTGATACAGATATTGTTTCACCAAATCGTTTTGATTTTTATCTTAATTCTGATGCACCTATTCAAGGTACAGCAAAACCAATGCTTTATCAAGTCTTATGTAATGAAATTGGTTTTACATCAAATGAAATACAAATATTAACGTAAGAATTTGATATGAAAAAAAAAGAAAGAATTTATTATTATTATTGTTTTAAAATTTAGACATTACTTATGTCATACTGATGCAGGATGTACAAACACAATAGCGGTACCACTGCCTATTTATTATGCGACAGATAATGTGGCATATTACACAAATCAAAATAATTCTGAAGCACAAAAGATCATACAAGAAGATAAAAAACCTATTCGTCGGGGCACGTTTTGGAACACGTATGATGATAATTTTGACGAAGAACAAAACCGGCTTAATAAACAAAGCGTATGTACTTTAAACGCTAAAAGAAAAAATGTCGAAAAATAAATATCGATATATGTCAAAAAAACTCCGACAGAAAAAATATCGAAAGAATAGATAATGATGAATTTGATCAGGGAGGGAAAAATTTTATTGTATTTTATTCAACAAAGAGAAATACATATGTTGTAAGCCAATATGAATTTCAGGCAAATTTTTAATTTACCTAGACAAAACTGAAATATTATGCTGATGAACTTCAGAACTAGAAAAAAAGCAACTATGAGAACACGATTGGAATCACAAATAATGGTACGGGTGAAGAGGTAGACTTGAGTGAGAGGTCTGAATCTGAAAGATCAGTCTGAGGGTGAAATCCGTCTCAATAATCCGATAAAGAAGACCATGTCACTCAAAAATTCACCGTCATTGAGAATCTTCTCACTTACGTCAAGACTATCCTTGCTCCTTCACTAAGACCTTCTCCTTTACACTCACTGTTGTTCTTAACTTCATTCATCTTTTTATTATTGCTTTTTTCCCGAGTTTTGAAATTCATCTAAATTATATTTCATTTTTTCCGGGTCGAAATTCGAATTCCAATTTTGTCTACAATAGATATAGTGGTGATGAAAATTAACTATAAAAAAGTAATAAACCGATCAAGTTTAGAAAGAGCATCATTAGTACTAAGTTCATTTTTTCTTCGCGATTAACAGTGATAAGTCATAAGAAAAGAAAATCAATGTTGTTTAATAATGATATCTTCAAATTTTGGACGTTTTATATGATCGACGTGTTTTTCTTCGACCAAAGTTGCTTTCGGCATTTATTTTTCGAAGTTTTTCTTTCGTCGTTTTCCTATCCATTCGAACAAACCCCCTCATACCAACAACGGAATTGGTAGCTAGTATCAGTTTTTTCATCTTTTAAAACTAACAAATAGTAAAATATGTCCTTTTTTATTATAAGAAATAAACAATTTACAGAAAAAATATAGAAAGGATTACATAATATGCCTCAAAGAAGTCTTATTTTTTTCATCCTAACTTTAATCATATATCCATACAGTCTTATTTTAGACAATAAAATGACATACTCTTACATACCAAATAGAAAATTAAAACATAGAAAATGACACAAAAACTACAGTTTTCTCTATACAAAAGAACTATGTTTTTCAAATGAGTTTGAATTCCATCAGAATTCTTCCACGATATTATAAATATGTATTGTTAGATAGATATCATACAAACGAAAAAGTAGAAAATACTATTCATGTTGAACAAAATATTTACTTTTTACTCTTCGTCTGATAAATAGTATCAAGTTGACTCACAATACTACTCATTTCCATTCTTGTTGTGTATTAATTCTTCTTGTCTATTGTGTCACACTTTAGTACAGTTATGAGCTCATATAAAGTTGACAATAGAATAAATTAGTTAAAAAGGATTATCTATCATAAGAATATTCGTGACTGTTGTGTGGATTTATTTTCAAAGTTAGATATATCTTTGATACTTTGCAGTTAAAACTTAACTAATTAAATCAAATGAACTAATCACTCTGATCGTTTTCCACCATCTTCTAACAGTTCTAAGATCAGTGTCATCATGTGAATGATGATATATCACCGATGTATTATCACCATTTTTGTACTTAGAAATAAAGGTGTAACTGATGTATGGATTCATGATGGTGGTGATAACTTAGTTGATCGACTTACATCTCCAATTGGAAAGTACGACAGATTATTAGTTCTTACTTTTCGTATTCCAAAGTTTTTCTGTATTTGAAAAGAAAGAAATGAATCACATGATTTTGTTGAAAATCTTACGAAACAATTTAGACGAGAAAAAGAATCAGTTTGATAGGATAAAAGTTGAGAAAGTAATGATCCAAATATTAATCAACCATTGATTCTGTCGTATCTTTGTTCTTGAAAAAAATTTGATTTCTAAATACTTTTAAAATTTAAACAGATTTTATTTTGCTTTAGGATCTTAATCGTCAATCTGTTTGTTAATGTCCTCACCACATTAATCAACAAATATATTATATTCAAGAC